ACTGGGTCACTGAAGGAAAAGAGGATACTCATAGAGAACATCCAGGTCACTGGGTCACTGTGGCTGGTACTCACTACATTCTTCATTTGACATTCACAGAGTCCTGTGTCACTCCTTGTGACACTGAGTAGAGCAAGGATCCTGTTGTCATTGGACATCTGCAGCCTGGGACTGACTGTGAGTCTCTGACCATTTATCCACCACATGTAGATTGTGCCATGAGTCTCAGGTTCACAGGTTAAGACCATAGCCTTCTCATCCTCTACGGGGTTGCTGGTGACATAAGGCTTGGGCAGATTTGCTGTGCAGATAACAGAGAAGATTCCTCTGTGTGGCACCATTGATTTCTCCATGAGCATTTTCCAATTAGAGTTGACATCTCCCACCTCTCAGCCAATCTAAGTCCTTGAAAGTCCACAGCAGGTCTGTGTGTCAAAAGACAGATGCATGATGATCTGAGGGCTCAGAGACCATGGGGCTACCTGCTCTGTGTGGGAGAAGCACAGACTTCTGAAGTGTGATTCGAGCAGCAACACTGGTGAAGCATGAATTGAGCAGGGTCAAACAATTAGAGTTTGATTAACTTTGTTTAAATTGGGCAGAGTCTAAGAGAGGCAGCAGTGGCTCATGCATCTCCCCACCCGAAGGACCCCACCTTATGACAATATTGTTGTTATGAATACACAGGTGTGCATGAAACAGGCAGTAAATCAGACAGCACCCATGGTCCTAGGAACCACCAGTATTCCCATTATGTGTATGTTATAGCCTTTTAGGCTACAAAATATAAAATACAACTACAGAATATAAAATATGCTATTGTCAATACAAAATATTGAATATGAAGCTGAATATGTTGTTCTACTTTTTTTTCTCTTGCTAAACTTTGCTGTTTCCATTTTGGAAGTTTCTACTGACACACGCTTAAGCTGGAGATTCTTTCCTCAGCTATGTGCAGCCTACCAGTAAGTCCTTGGAGGGCATTCTTTATTTCTCTTAAAGTGTTTTTAATCTCTTGTATTTCTTTTGGTTCTTTCTTAGAACAGCCATCTCTGCTTAAATCATCCGTCTATTCCTGAAAGGTGTCTACTTTTTCCATCATAATCCTTAACCAGAGTTGTTTTAAATTTTCAGTCTGATAATTTCAACATCCCTACCACATTTGTGCCTGGTTCTGATCCTTGCTCTGTCTTTCAAACTGCATTTTCTTTTGCCATAGTCTGTCTTGTATTTTTTTGAAAACCACACATGATGTACTCAGTAAAAGCAGCTTGAGTGAGCAGGCATTCAGTGATATGGTGGTGAGTGTGGGGAGGGAAGTGTTCTGTGGTTCTGGATGAGATCTGTGTCCTGGGCTGTGAATGTCACAAGTGCCTCTCAGGATTTTCTTTCCATTAGGTGGGATATGATGACTTGAGGAGGCTGGAGTTGGATAGTTCCCCTCCCCCTGGCCAGTTAAGCTCCCATCAAACCCCAGCTAATTAGGCTGCAGTAAAATAGTTTCTCTTAAGTATAGGTCTTTCCAAGAAAAATATAATTCACTGACAACTTTCCAAGTGGCTTTTTTTCCTTCTTCCTACAAGAAGGATGTGGGGATTCTTTTTGGACATTGACTGTGAGAATGTGGTAGAGCTCCAGGAGCTAAGAGTCATAAAACTGTCCCCCTACTCCCAAAACTAATCCATCCACTGGTGTGTTTATCTCTGCACTGTGTCCACATTGAGCCTCCAGAATTTCCTCAATTACAGTTCAGGTTTTCTGACCCCAGCACTGGTTCCCGCTGGGGTTTCTGTGGCTGTGTTTCTGCTCAGGTATGGTGTGCTGCTCTGTATTTGCCTGTGGGTCTCTCCAATATGTGGGCCAGTTAGCACTGAGACCTTGCTTCTCTGAGAAATCTAAACGAGTTGTTGATTTTTCAGTTTGTTCAGGTTTTTACTTGTTAGAACTGAGTGAAAAATTTTAAGCTACTTACAAGCCCGACGGAAATTAGAAGTCTCTAGGGCATGACTGGAGGATATGAGCCCCACAGCATGTTGAGGATGGAGTCATGAGTGAAATGGGTGAAATGAGCCCATGGACTTTGGAAACTGCAGATCTGTCCTTCTGCCTCTGACGACCCCCTAGTGAGTCAGTGTAGAAAGCGAAACCACCTTTGCAAAGCTTACGATGGTGAGAGAAAGCTAGCTTGGCCGACCCCATCTCACCTCCAGCCTCAGGCTGGCTGTCCTCTCTCATTCCTGGGCATAGGCCAGGGTAACTATGGGAGGAATTTATTGTTTAATTTTGAAGCAAGGATGATAATAGTCCCTCTCTAAAATTAGCTCCTTCCTTGTCAAGGACTACCTTCTAAATCTTGTCAAGATTTGGATTATGGGAGGGGCCCAAATTCTGCTAAAATGCAGGCATAGTTTCTATAATCTCTTACTGCTCAGGAGTCATGTGTCCAGAGGTCACAAGATTTGTGACTTTCCTAGTTGCTCCTAGAGATAGCAACACTATTGTTGAACCTGAGATTTGTCTTGTGAGATGTTTCTCAGACTTTTGCATTCTGGCAACCAGCTGACCTCATCTAGACCCATGACTAATGACTCAACCAGTCATGTGGCCCCCACTCAGAAGCACATTCAACAAATACAGACCATTTCCCCTACCTGCATGATTTCATCTCCAGCCAGTCAACAGTATTTATTCCTTAGACCTCTGCCCCTCAAAGTTTTTGAAAAACTCTAACCTCTGAACCATTGGGGAAGCTGATTTGAGTCATAATAAACTTCTGTTCTCCTGTTTGGCAGCCTTGGGCTAAGTAGAACCATTCTTTACTACACATCACCTTCTCAATAAATTGGCTTTGCCTGTGAAGAGGACAAGAACCTGTCAGGTGATTATAAGAATGGATAGAGGAGTCACTGATTTATTTCCGGTGGCCCATTTTATGAGCCAGCCTCTCAGAGGGAAAAAGCCCTGGACTGGGACACAGTGGAAGCTCATTCTCTTGGTGACCCAGGGACATTACCTCATTATGGAGCCTGGCAGGGGCGGCTGCTCTGGCTGATTTTGGTGCATTTCTCATTTCCCAGAAGGCAGGACAGGCCTCAGTGTGAGCAGGAAGGGAACAGAACAGTCAGCCTTGTTAGAGAGGATGTCTGGGGAAGTCCTCAGGGTGGAGGAAGCTGTGCAGGACAGGGCTTGTCAGTTAGAATGAAAGGGGGATGCACTTTTTTCGCTGAACACCTTTCAGACACCTCACCATCTCTGGCCTCACTGGATTCTGCCTTTCCTCCTGAGCCCTGAGCCCTGCTTCCTGGGAGGGAGGGAGGGAGGGATGAAGGGTGAAGCTGGAATGTGTGCTGTCCAGGTTTCTCCCATCTTTGGAATCTTGACAGTAAGGGACCCTAATGTGTTACCACAGAGGAGACTGTGGGAAAAAGCTGTTTCTCAGGGGTGCCTGGTTTATGAAGTGAGAAGAATTCAGACCGGGTTGGACGCGTGAACTACAAGGACCCTGTTCCATGTCAACAACCAGCTCCTCTAGCTCAGTGTTTCCGTGGCTCATTCTCTTGTGTGATTTCTGAGCCCATGCTAGAGTCCTCCTCACAATGCCTGATGGTCAGACCAGTGTGGGGAGACCTAATGGGGGGGTCTTGTGTGCTCACAGAGTGTCCAGGGAACAGGCTTCGTGACTTCCTCTGCTCCAACCCCACAACAAGATCTGGATAGTGGGCTGGGTCAGATAAAGTCAGAATCCATGGGGGAGGGTATGTGTCCTGGCAGTGCTGAGGTTCATGCCTCCAGGTTAGCTCTCAGTCTCTGCAAAGACATTTATGTTGTGCATGTGTTGTTTGCTGGACTGTCTCATGTCCCTAAATTCTTGAACCTGCCTGCAGATAATATCATGAGGGGTCTGCATAGAAGTGCATGAGGGCTATCTGATTAGGGTGGGTGTGTTTCACATAGTGGGCTTTTTTTCACCACTTTTCAAAACATTGTGCTTGAGTGTATATATAGAAACACATACATACTTATATTCATTAGATGTGAATATATATAAATTAATATATAGATACATATATCTATAAATATACACACACATATATGCGTATATACATATACATATATGTGTATACGTGTATGTGTATATACGTATATACATATACATATATGTGTATACATGTGTGTATGTGTATATACATGTGTATATACGTCACGTGTATACATATATTCACATAGATACACATGTATCTATGTGAATATATGTGTATATATGTATATGTATACATCTATGTGTATATATGTATATGTATACATCTATGTGTATATATGTATAAATTCTTAGGGTGGGTGTGTTTTACATAGTGGGGTTTTTTCACCACTTTTCAAAAAATTGTGCTTGAGTATATATATAGAAACACATACATACTTATATTTACTAGATGTGAATATATATAAATAAATATATAGATACATATATCTATAAATATACACATGTGTATATGTATAGACACATATGTGTATATGTATATGTGTGTATATACATATACACGTGTATATACATACATGCACATATATACACATGTATATATGTATGCACATGCACATATATGTGTATATATGTATAATGTGCCATTTTAACCACTCCGGGAAGAAGAGAGAGAGAGAAGAGAGTTTCTACTAATACCAAATATACAAATCTATGTATACCAAATATACATACATACACATATATACACATTTATATATGTATATACATGCACATATATGTGTATAGATGTATACTGTGCCATTTTAACCACTTCGGGAAGGAGAGAGAGAGAAGAGAGTTTCTATTAATACCAAATCTCCTGGGTTAAATAAGGGTGGTCCTATTTCCTGGGGTTGGGCTTTTGCTAGTTGTGTCAATTCCTGTTGGAAGTGAGCTAGAGAGGTTACATGCTCAACTAATTTAGAGATTTTCTATGTGAAAATAATCTGTGAGTGCATTGATAAGTGTTATCCTTTCCTAGGTGAAAAGCTTGGTGAAGGATTTTAAGGACTTCCCATTGACTGAAGGCTGGCAAATGGAGTTTGCCATTCTCTGACTGCAGCCATTCTGAGGACTGGAAAGAATACCCTGAGAAGTGGCCTATTTTATTCCTGCAGGAAGGTACTGAGGTTTAATTTATCTTATGGAATCTTCTTAGATTAGAAGGCTTTGAGGTGTGTTGATGCCTTGCCAGTGACTTAGCTGCCTGATCAGCAAACCTATTTCCTTTGGCTACTTCATCTGTTCCCTTTTTGATGTTCCCTATAATGTACCACTCTTATTTCTGAGGATGATAACCTGTTAATTTCTTGGTGACATTTTATAGGAGATCCATTAGTGGTAAGAAAATGCCTTTTATTTTAAATGGCAGCATGAGCATGAAGAACTAAAAAAGCATACTTGGAATTGGTGTAAACGTTAGCTACGTTTCCCTTGCTTAATTTAAGCGCTCTTGTAAGAACTGTTTGTTTAGCTGATTGGACACCTGCACCTGAAGAGAGATGTTATTTAGAGTGACTGCTGCTTATCCTGCCTTACATATTGCTTGCTTTACCAGCTGTTGGTTAGCTAAGAGCTCCCTCTAGAGGAAAGTAATTTTGCCACATGAAGTGGGGGTGTAAACAGTTTTTTCCTAGGGTTAAGTTGGAGGCTTTTCTGACTAGTAGAGCTATTGTGACAGTGGTTTGGAAGCAGGTGTAAACAATAGGTCCTCCTAACTGCAAATAAGAGGTTGAGAAAAATATTGGATTAGAATTTTTCTTGAGACACCCCTTATGGTTGTGCTATGGGAAGAGGGGAAGCCTGGATAAGAGAGGAGAAAAGAGAGAGACTGGCTCTAGTGTTTTAGAAGGAGATCTACTTTCCTTCCTATAATTTCCAGAATCACCTGTGTCCCCTGTGCTGTAACGGCAGTTTGCTGCTGTAGCCGGGGGTTTGAGCCCCAGGACCCATCAGTCTTTCTGGACCACTGTGAGACTGGTTCTGAACCCAGTGACCTCCATCTCTGGGAGCAGTTGCATCTCCAGTGGTCTCCACTACAGGCTGGACAGGGTCAAGGTGGCTTCCTCTTGCTGTTTGGACACTAAAATGCCCTAGCTTACCACACCAAGATTGCTGGATGCACCTCTGGGATCCTGGACTTTGCAACTCTGCAAAGCTACTAGAGGCTTTATCATTCTCTTGAGCTTTCTCTCTTTCTTCTGGGCCTCCTCCTGGTTCCTATTATAAAAGACTGAAGTGGCTACCCTCAGGAGGTTTTCCAAGGTCCTATCTGCTACTATAGCTTGCTTCTGTAGGTTCCTTCTAATACTGGGAGCTTTCTGTATAATAAATCAATCTTTTAGAATGGGTTGTCACTTGACTGAATCAGGAGATAAAAAGGTGCGTGCTAATAGTGCCCCTCTCAACATATCCATAAAGGCTGCAGGATTCTCATCTGGCTTTGAGTCTATTATAGACAGTTTAGAGGAATTAAGAGGTCTGGCCTTAGATTTTCTTTTCCATTCATCTGCAGAGCTATTGGGGTTTCAATCAGGGTTGTCAAGAGGTACTGCTTCACTTCCTATTTGGAATGGTGTTTCTGCTATTTCTTCACTTTCCATATCTCCTTTCTTCTCTTTTGGTGTATTATAGGAGATATGTTGCTCATCTCCAAAATTCTCTACTGCTTGCAGAGCTGCCGGTTTTTCAGCTGCAGTTAGGGTTTGGTTTAGGAGCAGCATGACATCCTTCCATGTGAGGTGAAACATCTGAGTTAAATTCTGGAAAATTTCTATATACCTATCAGGATTGCCTGAAAATCGGCCTAAGTCTTACTCTATTTGCCTAAGGTCCTGTAATGAGAAGGGAACTTGGAGGGGCCCCAAATTAGGGAGATTCTCAGATGGTTCCCCGGGAAGTTGCTTTTCTAATTATTGGGGATTATTCTCTATAGGCCTGCCTGATATGGCTGTTAAAAAAGCTGGGTTGCTGTTACAACGCTTGTAAAGGTTTAGTAAAAATGCCCTGTCATTGTGCAAAATAGAATGAGTTGCTTTTCTCTTCAAAGTCCTGAGGTTAAAAGAGTTCTAGTGCCTCAGAGTGCACTCCAGAGGGGTGCAAGCTGAAGATGCTCTGTTAGCCATGTAAAAAAAGAAGTGAGAATAAAAGTGTCCTTATAGTCCCCCTTCTTTCACTGTGACCCAGGGTAGAGTAGAAGACAATGGGAGCGTCCCCCCAACTGTTTTCTCTCCTTCGTTCCTAAGTCCTGGCACCATGTTAAATGTGCCACCCTTGGTTGTAGGCATGGCCCTCTAAGCCATGGAACTGGATAAATGAAGTGATGGGATTAGCCACACTTTACCCACACAACCTTAGCTTATCTGCCGTGATCTGCCTGGCTTCCTGAAAAATGGAGCTCTGAAGAAACTGTAATGGTTGCCTTTGAGCAAGCTTTCTTTAACAGAGGGAATGTGCCAGTTGCCTGCTATTATGGCCCATGCTAAAACATTTACCCTTAGAAAAGTGGTTCTGGTTAACTCTGTTCTTAAAATGTCCTTACTAATTAAGTACTGTTCTAATTGGAGATAGAATAGGTACCTTAAATTAACGTAGGGACCTAATAGCAGGTTTTCCTTCTGATGGGACAGTACTGGAACTAAAATTTGGCTATGGAAGACATTTTATTCCTAATTGTTGAAAGCAGAACTTTCCCATTCACAAAAAGGGCTTTTCTATCAGTGCAAAAAGAGAGAATTGAAAAAGTGCAGTGTTATGGCAAAGAACCAACAATGTGCCTCATGAGGAGGATTTCTATCTCCACCAGGTGGCACTGTTGGCTGGGAAATACCATGTGCTCAGTAGAGGAAAGATAGAGCAGGGAGGGTAGAGAGAGAGAGACAGAGACAGAGGCAGAGACAGAGAGACAGACATCTGTTGGGTTAGTTATTATGTCATTTACCGATCTTTCCTAACAGATCTGTTTCCCTGAACTGTAAAAGTTTCCACACATTGCATACACAAAAAGAATAGGAGACATAGCAACCATGGATAGAAAGGAAGAAAAAGATTGCAACACGATAGCAAATTAGGAGACCCATTACCAACATCTGAATGGGCTACTGGAGGCTGTGTTCAGTCCAGAAGCTGTTGAATAACATCAGGGCACGTACTGGCCAGAAATTCTCAGCTGCTCCAGGACATCCCCCAGCTTCATGTGATGGTAAGGTTCTTCATGAAAGGAAACTGGTTTGAAGAGAACCTTGAAATTAAAGGACAGATTTGAGGTTTGCTCCATACCCACCATTCTGATGTTTCTATCTTCTGTTCTGATTACAACGCCAGATGAGAACTCCCAAATAAAATGCCTCTGTTGTCTGGGAATCCATGGTTCTTTGTCTCACACTGAGAAAGAATTCAGGACATGGAAACACATGAGGAGTGGGTTTAGAAGTGGAAAATTTAATAGACAAAAAAGAGAGAGAGAGAAAGCTTCCTCATACTGAGAAAGCAGTCACCCAAGAGAGGGTCTCCAATCTGGGGCGGAATGCGATTGATTTTGTACAGAGACTTGAGGAGGCAGTGATTAATTTACACAGGGTCCAGGGGATTGTTTTGACTGGGTGTGCCATTTACATAGTCAGAGAAAAGACTGGCCCTCCCACCCTAATCTTTTATTATGCAAATGTGGCTTTTACCTGGTGGTCACCATGACACCTGCACATGTAGTGACTAGGAAAAAAGAGTGGGAACCGTGGTTTTCGGTATACCTGGCTTTTAGCTACCTGCATTTACATATGCATGTCTATGCTTGCAGCCTGATTATTCAGTTTGTTTTCTGTTAGAAATGGTTTGGGGGCTGCTTTTTGTTAAAGGAAAATTCCACCAAGAATTCTTTTACCCTTTCTAGCTGTCTAAAAATAATTTCTCATTAACTCTTGTATTAGGGTCCCTTTAGGAGAACAGAAAAGATGACACAGACTCTCCTTTAGGGGAGTAACCGTAGTCTTTTTTTTTTCTCATGTAACCCCAAGAGTTGCAAGTGAACGGATTTCTCTCAGGTCTAAAAGTCTGCTGTTTTCTCCATTGTGTTACCTGACCTCTTTGCCTTTTACATTACTTTGTACTGTAAAAATATTTGACCTTGTGTGTGTAATGGTCGCTGGGTCAGTGGTAAGAGCTATGGTTTTGAAGGCGACTAACAGTAGTTATAATAAATTATTCTAGCTTCAGAGGGCTACTCATTTCTTTGCATGTTTAGATGCAAAAGACACAGTTTAAACAATTAGGGAAATGCCTTTGTAGCAAAGTACTCTGTGGAAGTGTTGCACAGTATGGTCCCCATTGCATTTTCCTCTTCTTGGGGACCTGGGATTCAGTGAAATTCTTGATTTTTAATGTCTAAATGTTGTCCCTTCCAACTGGTTCTCTTTTTTACATATTTAAATGATTAGAATCTAAAAATTGTAAAGACTTTGTTGGCCCTCTTCCTTAACGGGCTCTATCTTGAGCTCAGTGATTCAGTTGAAGAACAGAGACCAAATTAAAAGCTACATCTCTAAATAAAATTGGTCTCCTTATAAAGTCCCATGGTAAATTTCTATTATTTTTGTGTTACCTTGGCATGTATTTTTAATCTTCCTTGAACACACCCAATTTTTTCTTGAAAGAGCTTAAGTTCTCTTTCTCTCTTTGCTTCGAGATGTAAATGTACTACCTATTTTCTCTAAAACTCAGTAAAGTCTTCCTCAGATAAATGTTAACCTTCACCATTTACAAGAAAGCAATTTGAATCCAACTATCCTTTAAAATGGTGGGTTTTACTGATCTCATGCCTGAAGTCTTAAAATCAAAACTCTAAAATCTTTTTGTCTCTCTCTATCTTTATGTGAACATGTATATATGTTTCATCACATATATGTATATGTCACACATGTTTATATACTGTTTACACGTAGTGTCAAATTAATGTAAAAATAAATGAGTACTCATAAATTAAGTGAACAAGCCCAAATGCTTTTCTATACATGTGATTTTAGTAACCTTTGATGAATATAGATAGTTTTAAAATTGTTGGTAAAATAAAGTAGAAATGTCTTCATAATTTAATTTATACGTTTTTGCCTAGGTCTGTTGGCCGGCAG